CAAATCTCATACTTGTGGTGTCTTTATGATCGGGAAAAGATTCTCTATCATTTCATAAGATTTTTTTTGAGACCCTGAGAACAAGTTTAGGAGAGTCCTGCTGACCCTGAAAGCATTAAACTCAGTGAACAGGGTATGTCAGTGGTAATAATATCACTCTGGGCTGCTTTAAATATATTGCTATGTAGGTAGGTGTAGCTGTGTAGCCCAGACAGGCTACATAGATTCACCTACGGGCTACCTACACCTGACTTCCTGTAAATAAATATTACTCACCTCTCACCCTACATTAAGACTACAAATATTTTAAGGTAAGTAATAAATGTACTATGCATGTATTTTACTTTTTATTGTTTTTCCATGCGTAAGTCTACTGTTAGCTTAATATATGTTAGTGTAAACTTATCTGGAATTTGTATGCATTTATTAGTGGAAAAAATGGTGTTCTGCTTTCCGGCGATGTCTGCTTTCTGGTGGTAGCCTGGAATCTAACCCGCTGTATGAGTGGGGCTCTACTATATACAGTAGGGCCCCGCTTCACGGCATTTCACCTTACGGCGTTTCGCTAATACGGCGATGTCAAATTATGACCAAAATTTGCTATACGGCAAGCGGTCTTTCAAATACGGTGCGCCCCACCCGGTTTGTTTACATTCTTCATGACACGTCTATTATGTCAGGAAACTTGCCAAAATTTTAAGTGTTTTAAAGTTACTGCGTATTTTATGTGTACTCTGATAATTATACTTACGTGTACCTCTACCTAAATATACTTACTGTGCTGGTGTGCAGGTACACATTAAAATCGCTAAGTCTCTCTACTCATGACGCCAATACTACGTAATAATAATCACTCTTGGGCACATTAAATGTCTTATTTTACATTAATATAGACATTTTCATTAATCCATCTATGATATTTTCCTCAAAATTATATATGAAACCCGTTTCATAGCATATAAACATGATACATACACTCACAGAATAAAAATTGACGTAAATATGAGATTTGTTTACAAATCGGTTGTGTAGGTAGTGTCGGAAGAATTACATTTTCTCTAGTCAAACTAGGGGGTAACTGTAGAAAAATATTCTTTTCGTATGCCTTCACTCTATATATAGCAATTCACGACCCTTGTGGGTTTAGTGCTTTTTATTATGATAATAATATCTTCATTCACTCTAAAAATGGTGTGTTGCTGTTTGTTTATTCTGTACTAACTTGTACAACTTGTACACAATATAAGAGTATTTGTATTGTGAGGTAATTACAGTGGACCCCCGGTTAACGATTTTAATCCGTGCAAGAGGGGTAATTGTTATGCGAAATAATCGTTATGTGAATGAATTTTCCCCATAAGAAATAATGGAAATAAAATTAATCCGTGCAAGACACCCAAAAGTATGAAAAAAAAATTTTTTTACCACATGAAATGTTAATTTTAATACACACAAACTGAAAAAGGCATGCACACTTACATGACACTTACTTTTATTGAAGATCTGGTGATGATTGATGGGATGGGAGGAGGGGAGAGTGTCGAACTTATTGTTTAGAAGGGGAATCCCCTTCCATTAGGACTTGAGGTAGCAAGTCCTTTTCCGGGGTTACTTCCCTTCTTTTAATGCCACTAGGACCAGCTTGAGAGTCACTGGACCTCTGTCGCACAACAAATCTGCCCATAGAGCTCTGTACCTCCCGTTCCTTTACGATTTGTCTAAAATGGGCCACAACATTGTCATTGAAATAGTCACCAGCACGGCTTGCAACAGCTGTGTCAGGGTGATTTTCATCCATAAAGGTTTGCAGTTCAACCCACTGTGCACACATTTCCTTAATTTTTGAAGTAGGCACAATGGATTCCACAACTGGCATAGGCTTCTCAGGGTTAGCCCCAAACCCTTCAAAATCTTTCTTAATTTCCATACTAATTCTCACCCTTTTTACCACAGGGTTGGCACTAGAAGCTTTCTTGGGGCCCATGGTCACTTATTTTCCAGAAACAGCACCGAAAACACTGTAATAATACGAAATATTCCGAGTGTATGCTTGGATGTTACCGCGGAGGCTGGCTGGTAAACAATGGCACGGGCGGCACATGTGAGGCTGGCTGAGGGCGCACATTGGACGCGTCTCGGACGAAAATCGGTGAGCGGGTTTTTAATCGGTATGCACGGCAAAAATTTTGCGATTAAAGTAAGCGGTATGCGGAATAATCGCTATGTGATGCCATCGTTATGCGGGGGTCCACTGTATTATAATAAAAAAATATTGAGGTAAATGTTTTACAAACTCTTACAAAAGTATGTGAATGAACTAAAAGTTTTTTTATTTTTTTTATTATCACACTGGCTGATTCCCACCAAGGCAGGATGGCCCGAAAAAGAAAAACTTTCACCATCATTCACTCCATCACTGTCTTGCCAGAAGGGTGCTTTACACTACAGTTTTTAAACTTCTACATTAACACCCCTCCTTCAGAGTGCAGGCACTGTACTTCCCATCTCCAGGACTCAAGTCCGGCCTGCCGGTTTCCCTGAACCCCTTCATAAATGTTACTTTGCTCACACTCCAACAGCACGTCAAGTATTAAAAACCATTTGTCTCCATTCACTCCTATCAAACACGCTCACGCATGCCTGCTGGAAGTCCAAGCCCCTCGCACACAAAACCTCCTTTACCCCCTCCCTCCAACCTTTCCTAGACCGACCCCTACCCCGCCTTCCTTCCACTACAGACTGATACACTCTTGAAGTCGCTCTGTTTCGCTCCATTCTCTCTACATGTCCGAACCACCTCAACAACCCTTCCTCAGCCCTCTGGACAACAGTTTTGGTAATCCCGCACCTCCTCCTAACTTCTAAACTAGGAATTCTCTGCATTATATTCACACCACACATTGCCCTCAGACATGACATCTCCACTGCCTCCAGCCTTCTCCTCGCTGCAACATTCATCACCCATGCTTCACACCCATTTAAGAGCGTTGGTAAAACTATACTCTCATACATTCCCCTCTTTGCCTCCAAGGACAAAGTTCTTTGTCTCCACAGACTCCTAAGTGCACCACTCACCCTTTTCCCCTCATCAATTCTATGATTCACCTCATCTTTCCTAGACCCATCCGCTGACACGTCCACTCCCAAATATCTGAATACATTCACCTCCTCCATACTCTCTCCCTCCAATCTGATATCCAATCTTTCATCACCTAATATTTTTGTTATCTTCATAACCTTACTCTTTCCTGTATTCACTTTTAATTTTCTTCTTTTGCACACCCTACCAAATTCATCCACCAATCTCTGCAACTTCTCTTCAGAATCTCCCAAGAGCACAGTGTCATCAGCAAAGAGCAACTGTGACAACTCCCACTTTATGTGTGATTCTTTATCTTTTAACTCTAAAAGTACACATATTAATACGCATTTATTTTGCCTGACCAAGTGATTGCCCACTACCTGTTCAGTTTGTGTTCTTACACTGTCTGAACTCTGTATCTTGTTCTCTCTCTCGTTTACTCTTTCGTTAACTAGTTGGCTCTCATTGACGATGGCATCTAAGCTTAGCTGTGATAGAAAGAGGAGTTATAAGACTTGCTTTAAGTGCCAAGTTAGAGGATGATGGTGTGCCATTCTGATTCTATTCAATAAACACCCAGCCACTCACCTCTCACATATTAATATTAATATTTTAAGGTAAGTAATAAGTGTACTCTGTGTGTATCTTATCTTTTATTGTATTTTTAATGACTATTTCTATTGCTAACTTAATATAAGTTAGTGTAAACTTGTTATCTGGCATTTATTGCATATTTTATATGTGCTCTGATAATAATACTTGTAGTCCTGTGTGGTAGCAGAGCGGATGGACAACATTGTTTTCTCTGCTCAGCCATCAGAGAAAACGTGTATGAATCTGCGTTCGGCCCAGCCACTCCCCCACTCCGCTATTGTTTACAATTTTCGGCATGAATTATTCATTACTTCTCCCTTCGTCTATGATGGCATCTAAAGGTAGTTGTTAGAAACGATTAAATTCAGTGAACAAGTTATGTTGATGCTAATAATATGGCTCTGGGCCACAGTGTAGGTAACCGGTAGGTGTAGCCCAGGTGAGCTACACCTACCGGCTACCTACACTGACTTCCTACAAATAAATACTACTCACCTCTCTTCTTACATTAAGACTACACATATTTGAAGGTAAATAATGAGTGTACTGTATGTGTATTTTAACTCTCTGGGATGTTTTAAATATTGTATATTAAGGATGAGACGGGGAGCCAGGGCTACCTACATCTGACTTCCTACAAATAAGTACTACTCACCTTTCTCCCTACATTAAGATTACAAATACTTTAAGATAAGTAATGAATGTACTGTGAATGTATTTTACTTTGTGTGTTTTTAATGCCTAGTTCTATTACTAACTTAATATAATTTAGTGTAAACTTGTTGTCTGGCATTTATATGCATTTATAAATGGAAAAAATGGTGTTCTGCCTTCCGGCGATGTCTGCTTTCTGGCAACAGCCTGGAACCTAACCCGCCATGTAAGTGGGCCCCTACTGTATATATAACCACACTTCAGTTATCTGAAACAGTTACCTAACTCATACTGTGCAGTATTTTCCGGTAATCAGAGTTTCTATCTTAGCTGTACTGTGCTTTACTTCTTACATTGCTATTGGCATTTTGTGGTTTCCTTTACTCATTTTTCTGGTATCTTTATCAATTGCCAGCATTTGACTGAGGTGCAGAATAAATGTAATGAGAATTTATTGAAAAGTTGCTTTGGAGGCGAGATGCAGTAGTCTATCAAGAGATGTTGCAGTGTGATTGTAACCCAAAATGTGAACAGTCGCTTTTAAGTGTTCATTTCATTTTGCCCACATTAATGCTTCCTAGGCTTTCTGGTGTACACAGTTGCCAAAGTGTTTAATGAACACATTACAGTAACCTTGATTAGTTCTTATAAATTGTCTCTTATGTTTCAGATCTATGTAATTGATAGTGGTGATAGAAAAAGATTTGAAGAGACTGGCCAAGAGTTGGGTGAAATTCTCAATGAAGAGAAACTAGCAGGTATGTATGGAGTTATTTGCAGAGTGGAATACTTGTTATTTAATTAGTTACGTACATATTTTTAGGACAAAAATGAAGATGGTGATTTTCTTGGAAATTTATGTGACTTGTGAAAGACCATATTTATTGTGAAGTACAGTGCCTGTACTCTGAAGAAGGGATGGGAATGGTGCTGTTTTAAGGGTCATCTCAATTTGGGATGTCAGCACACTTCTAGCAACACAACTATTGAGTGAAAAATTTTGAGGAAAAGGTGGTGAGTACCTTAATGGGAGATGGCTGGTGTGGTAAAAATAAAAAGTACAGTGGAACCTCAAATATCGGCCACTGCGGGTATCAGCTGAATCGTATTTAGGCCGGTTTTTGGGCCGAAATTTTGCTCCATATTTTGGCCGGTGCATCGTAAATCGGCTGTATTAGACGCGTCAGCCTGCCTGGTGACCTGCCAGGACACCATGCGTAGGTGAGTCAGTCTCCCTGTGTCTCTTGGTGAATGAGCACATACTCCATGGATTCATCCAAACATTTCCTTAAAATCCATTGGTTTTTGTGTTTGTTTATTAAGTGCGACTGTGAAATAAACCACCATGGGTCCAAAGAAAGTTCAGAGTGCCAGCCCTTTGGTAAAGATAGAACTAGAATTGAAGAAGGAAATTGTAGAGATTAAGGAGATTTGTGCAATGTGGAGTAGGGTGCAAGCTTTTGCTGAGAAATATCACCCTGACCAAGCTGAAACAAGCCATATCTGCAACATGTTCAGTGACAAAACCTTGGCTCACTTCAGGCAAATCTTAGAGGCACCAGAAACAGACCTCTCTGGACAGTTTTTTTGTGCTACAGGGGTCCAATGACCTTCAAGCTGGTCCTAGTGCCATTAAAAGATAAAGAAGGGAAGTAACCCCAGAGAAGGACTTGATACCAGAAGTCATTATGGAGGGGGATTCTCCCTCCAAACAATAATCTCTCCTCCTCCCTCTCCCCTCCTCCCTGTCTTCCATATGCCAACAAGAGTTTTCAATATAGGTATGTAATAATGATTTAAATGTTCGTTTATATGTAATTGTCATTATTTTGTGTATGTAGACTATAGTTAAACTTTACAAAATATTTTTTTTTATTTTTGGGTGTCTGGAACAGATTTTTTTTTTTTTAACAAGTCGGCCGTCTCCCGCCTAGGCAGGGTGACCCAAAAAGAAAGAAAATCCCCAAAAGGAAAATGCTTTCTTCATCATTCAACACTTGCACCTCACTCACACATAATCACTGTTTTTGCAGAGGTGCCCAGATACAACAGTTTAGAAGCATATGTAAAGATACTATATAAAAAGTGACCTGAAATAATATGCGTAATAAACTCCCTATAGAATATAATATCAGGACTCCAATTATATATATACCGTCCTATTACACATCCCTCCAAACTGCCAATACGTATCCCAAACCCCTCCTTTAACCCTTTGAGGGTCGAGAGGCCCTCTCCCAAACTCGTTCTCAGGGTCGAAAATTTTTTGAAAAAAAAAAATTATTTTATGAAATGATAGAGAATCTTCTTCCGATCATAATGACACCAAAAGTATGAAATTTGATGAAAAACTTACGGAATTATGCTCTTGCGAAGTTAGCGGTCTCAAAGTTGGCAATTTCGCCCACTTTGGGCCCTATTTTCGGCCAATTCCAATGTTGCAGTTGACTAAAATCATAGCTATTTCCCTAGAACTCCATTAGTTCTATCAATTGAGTACAAGAATCCGCCCATTTACCGATTTCAACTACCCAATAAAGTGGTCAGAAATTGGCAATTTGGGCAATTTCACACAAATTTTAAATGATGCCAATCTCAAAATAGGGTTCAGAATAAACAAGACAGACATTCATGGTACTAAAATAACATTTTATCTGTTCATTAGTCATGTCTCTAGCCCCCTCTTACATTACTTTTGCTTTTCATTTTTAATTTTTATTCCCACAGAAAATAGAAAGTTCTCTGTTATGTATACTACTGCATCATTGTAAAAACGGTATAAATGATATCAGCACACTACTGAAAGAATATTAGACTTGCCAGTTGATGTGTATTGGACGCGTGACTTGATTTGTTAAACTCTTGAATATTGGCAAAAATCGATCATTTTTGCTAATTTGAGCTCAATTTCGAGGTACTTGTCATCGTGAAACCAATCAAAATCTTCTATAATTTTGTAATATATCTTCCATTCTATCAAATGAGACTAAGGAAATGAGAATACAACCATAAATACCATACAAAAATTCACTAGAAAGTCGCTGTTTTAAACCAAAACACAGTTGAAGTTTTTTTTTTTCTCATTATGCACAGTGTGCTTCAGGATTTTTTTTATACTGCTCACACTGACCACACAGACCCATTCTTTCATATGTAGGCCTGCCAGCTTTCTTCCACCAGATTTGAAGGTGCTAGAATTTAGGTGTACAATGGCTGCAATGACGTACTTGTACGTGACTGACCCTCAAAGCGTTAAAGTGCAGGCATTGTACTTCCCATTTGCAGAACTCAAGTCTGGCTATATAGAAATAACCGGTTTCCCTGAATCCCTTCACTAAATATTACGCTGCTCACACTCCAACAGCTCATCAGGTCCCAAAAACCATTCGTCTCCATTCACTCTTATCTAACACGCTCATGCATGCTTGCTAGAAGTCCAAGCCCCTCGCCCACAAAACCTCCTTTATCCCCCCTCTCTCCAACCTTTTTGAGGACGACCCCTACCTCACCTTCCTTTCCCTACAGATTTATACGCTCTCCATGTCATTCTACTTTGATCGATTCTCTCTAAATGACCAAACCACCTCAATAGCCACTCTTCAGCCCTCTGACTCATACTTTTATTAACTCCAGACATTCTCCTAATTTCCACTCTTCGAATTCTCTGCATAATATTTACACCACACATTGCCCTTAGACAGGACATCTCTACTGCCTCCAACTGCCTCCTTGCTACAGTATTTACAACCCAAACTTCACACCCATATAAGAGTGTTGGTACCACTATACTTTCATACATTCCCTTCTTTGCCTCCATTGATAACATTTTATGTCTCCATATATACCTCAATGCACCACTCTTCTTTTTTCCCTCATCAATTCTATGGTTAACCTCATCCTTCATAAACCCATCCGCTGACACATCAACTCCCAAATATCTGAAAACATTCACTTCTTCCATACTCCTCTCCAGTGCGATATCCAATTTCTCCTCTCCAGTGCGATATCCAATTTTTCTTTATCTAAATCACTTGATGCCTTCATCACCTTACTCTTATCTATGTTCACTTTCAACTTTCTACCTTTACACACCCTCCCAAACCCATCCAGTAACTTTTGCAACTTTTCTTTAGAATCACCTATAAGCACAGTATCATCAGCAAAAAGTGACTGTGTCAACTCGCATTTTGTATTTGATTTCCCATAATTTAATCCCACCCCTCTCCCCAACACCCTAGCATTTACTTCTTTTACAACCCCATGTCTAAATATTTTAAACAACCATGGTGACATTACACATCCCTGTCTAAGACCTACTTTTACTGGGAAGTAGTCTCTCTCTTCTACACACCCTAACCTGAGCCTCACTATCCTCATAAAAACTCTTTACAGCATTTAGTAACTTACTACTTATTCCATATACAGTGGACCCCCGCTTAACGATCACCTCCCAATGCGACCAATTATGTAAGTGTATTTATGTAAGTGCGTTTGTACGTGCATGTTTGGGGGTCTGAAATGGACTAATCTACTTCACAATATTCCTTATGGGAACAAATTCGGTCAGTACTGGTACCTGAGCATACTTCTGGAATGAAAAAATATTGTTAACCGGGGGTCCACTGTACGTACTTGCATTGACGTTACTTTTTTTTTTTTTTTTTTTTTTTTTTTTTTTTTCCAAGTTGGTCGTCTCCCACCGAGGCAGGGTGACCCAAAAAAGAAAGAAAATCCCCAAAAAGAAAATACTTTCATCATCATTCAACACTTTCACCACACTCACACATTATCACTGCTTTTGCAGAGGTGCTCAGAATACAACAGTTTAGAAGCATATACGTATAAAGATACACAACATATCCCTCCAAACTGCCAACATCCCAAACCCCTCCTTTAAAGTTCAGGCATTGTACTTCCCATTTCCAGGACTCAAGTCCGACTATAAGAAAATAACCCGTTTCCCTGAATCCTTTCACTAAATATTACCCTGCTCACAACAGATCGTCAGGTCCCAAGTATCATTCGTCTCCATTCACTCCTATCTAACACGCTCATGCACGCTTGCTGGAAGTCCAAGCCCCTCGCCCACAAAACCTCCTTTACCCCCTCTTTCCAACCCTTTCGAGGACGACCCCTACCCCTCTTTCCTTCCCCTATAGATTTATATGCTTTCCATGTCATTCTACTTTGATCCATTCTCTCTAAATGACCAAACCACCTCAACAACCCCTCTTCTGCCCTCTGACTAATGCTTTTATTAACTCCACACCTTCTCCTAATTTCCACACTCCGAATTTCTGCATAATATTTACACCACACATTGCCCTTAGACAGGACATCTCCACTGCCTCCAACCGTCTCCTCGCTGCTGCATTTACCACCCAAGCTTCACATCCATATAAGAGTGTTGGTACTACTATACTTTCATACATTCCCTTCTTTGCCTCCATAGATAACGTTTTTTGACTCCACATATACCTCAACGCACCACTCACCTTTTTTCCCTCATCAATTCTATGATTAACCTCATCCTTCATAAATCCATCCGCCGACACGTCAACTCCCAAGTATCTGAAAACATTCACTTCTTCCATACTCCTCCTCCCCAATTTGATATCCAATTTTTCTTTATCTAAATCATTTGATACCCTCATCACCTTACTCTTTTCTATGTTCACTTTCAACTTTCTACCTTTACACACATTCTCAAACTCATCCACTAACCTTTGCAATTTTTCTTTAGAATCTCCCATAAGCA